AAATAAAAATATTTTAAAAAAACAAAGAATGAACTTTCAAAATTACAACTGTCCTACTGTGAGGAAGATAGGACTGGACGGAAGTCATCAGAACATTACTTAGACTATAGATAAATAGAACCTGTTTTTTTCTCCTCTAAGCTTTCTCCTTCAATCATCCTCTGCACATTCTGGGTTCTGTAGCTGTCAGGCACATAGACTAGGCAGAGAAGCAGGAAAGTATAAAACAAAACAGTACGCAAAATGTGTGCATATGGCAGGCAGGGGCAGGTGGTGAGCTAGAAGGGCTGGGTTGAATGTCTTTGAACAGGCTTTCATTCATTACAGCCTTCATAAAAGTTGGGAGATACCCTCAATGTGGGATGCCATCCCTATTCCTGTCTATACACTCTGTGTATCACAGGGACTAGAAGCCAGAGAACTATAATTCCCAGATTCGTATGGCTCCAGGGTTCTGGATGTTATTAATCTATCAACAAAATAAATTTGTGGGAGAACTAGAAAATGGAATAAAGCAGAAATCATTTTCTTATTTCTCCGACAGCAGCAGACAGATGCATGAGTGGTAGCAGACATAAAGTGCTTCCTTACCAGCCACCCACATTGGTACAGCCGGGCAGCTGTGTCCCTCAGTGGAACTGTCCTTTGGTTTTCCAACATAGGAGGCAACAGGAATTTCTCATTGAACTTCAGTGGTTTACCAGAAGATAGTGGTGGTCTATCTACTCTATTTTTTGCTCTTCCAGTCCTTCCAGTGGTTTTATATACACCCATTCCTGGCATTTTAATCCTCCTCTGCTTGAAATACTCCATGTTTTCTAAATAAACTTTAACAGAGCCTGTATCTGAGGCCAAAAGTAGCTTTAGGAAACTGACCCCAAAGATAGGAATCTGGGATTAGCTATCTGACCTGGTTCTGTTTGAAGTAAATGATAACACTGTCACTAGTGGAAAATGAGATCATGATAGTCTTGTCATGAAATGGAAACAGTTACTTAAATTATCAGTGGGGAATTAAGTGCCTATTGAAGGGAGGTCTTTGCTAGACGAACTAGTTGCTGGGTTAGACCACTGTGGTGGGAATGATATCTACAAGGACTATAGGGAGGCCCCATGGTTTCCAAATGCCCTGGAGAATTAACAGGATAAAATGATAGTTCAGAGAACCAGAGAGCTTCACCACTCTAAAAAAATCTCTTAATTTCTTTTTCTTTTTTTTTTTTAAAGATTTTATTTATTTATTTGAGAGAGAGAATGAGACAGAGAGAGAGAGCATGAGATGGGGGAGGATCAGAGGGAGAAG